AATACTTGATGAACTCCAGAAGAATAAAATACAGCAAAGAAATGCAGGGTCAGAGTGTTTGTGGAATTCAAAGAATAGCTGTCAGAGATGGAGGCTCTGAAATGCAGAGCCAATTTACATGGCAGGGGCTTTTCAAATTACTAGCAGCTGTCTTTACTAACTGAATATTTCCTTACTCTAAACGTTCAGAGGAGAGCTTAATTAACTTTTGTCTTAAAGATGTTCCTGGTGCATTATACATGCTTCCCCTTCTGAAAGGCAAATTAAGATTATTGAAAGATAAATGTCGTATGTTTAAATTATGTCAGTGGGATGGGGAGTGATGGTTAATCACAGTACATGCAACTTTTCTCTTTCCATCATTGCCTGAAATACTGAGCCATTTGTCTCAGAAAAAAACTGCTACTGAAAAAAGTTACTTTGTGTAACAGATTAGTGTGTAGCTCTTAAATTTCTCTTATCTTAAGAGAGCTGTCAAAAGACTGTACCTTTAGCATCCAGCTGCTCAAGCACTGTTCATGCATGCAGCAGAAAAAAGTAACATACACCTTTTCATAGAAGTGTATTTCTTCAACAATTTCTTTCAAGTTCTCCATAGAATAGTGAGAGCATCATAAGGCAAAAAAATTATCTTTTCTAAGGTCTTCCTGAGTAGGTCTTTGACACCTTACTGACTTGTTGTTAATGACAGACTGACAAATTTCCTCCTTATAAAAAGAGAAGAAAATTGATCTTAATTGCCTGCATATTTTGTTTGTTCTTTGTGTTCTGTCTCTCTCATATACAAAAATGAAAATAAATATGCTCCTGAAAAAGTTGTACTTATTTGCCTGGAATGGAAAAATTAGATAAAGCAGTTAAAGCTAGGCAGAACCATAAAAGATGGTTTTATGGTGGAAGGTGCTGACCAACTTTATATTCATCTAAGTACAACTTTTTTGGAAGATAATGTCTGTGACATCTTATCCCTTTTACCTGGTGGACTTTTGAGCCTAAATCTGTCTTTGAATAGAGATTTTTTCATGTCTCTCCTTATGAGACAAACAAACAGCAACAAAAAAGTTTTTTTTCTTTCCATTCCTTTTCTTTCTATTAGACCAGGTAGGAGATGTTTGTAGATGGGCAGAATGTCTCATAACCAAGCTTTCTTTCATGTTCTATTCTGTGATACTGCACCACACTGACATTAACACAAAGGACAAGTGCAAAACCTTTTAGCTGAGTGTCTCTTCAAAGTGCCATTTAATAGCCTGGGAACTTATTTCCCTTCACCATAAGCTGGCAAAGGATCCACTGAAATGAAGCATTGACCCTTAAAGTTTATCAAGATAGGCCTTTGTAGAAGGGCAGTCAGGCTTTGTTCTCGGACTGCATCAACTTTTTAAACAAGTTGTATGTGATGCAGGCATCCCACAAAGACAGGAGATTGTTATGTTTTGACATACATATACACATTCACAAAAAATGCTAACTTGAAAGCACCTCTTGTTACTGGTTATGCTGCCTCCATAAACTGTTTGTAATTTGAAGTTTTCAGGATTTCATGCTCAGTAGAAGTTTTCATAGCTTTAAAGCAGACTTCATCAATTTCAGGCATCAGTTTCATCATATTTGTTTATCATGTTAGTTAAGAAATTAGTGTAATGATTAATCAGAAGTCTTTTCTAATTTTAACTGCAGAATTCAGAGTCTGTTCCAAACTGTTGACCTCAAGCAAAAGTCTAGGACAGAAAAAATTAAAAGCAGTGGGGAAAGAACATGATTTTTTATATGCAGATTTTTTAGAAAGTCTTCCCTTTCACAACATAATTGAAATATTACTTAAAGGACCCATAGAAAATAACATATTAAAACAAATTGAGTTGCATGTATGATTAATTCACACAGTGGGAAAGTGATTGTAAGAAGTGCAATTTTATACATATGACCTTGAAATGAATAAAACAACTTTTAATTTTGTCATTTCCATTATAAATGTAGAATGCAATTAACAATAATCTTGGCAAAGAAGCAAGGGTCTAACATAAAAATCTCCTTACAAAATAAGTTTATACCATTACTGGACTTAAAATATGATAAAAAGAAGGATTTTCCAATATATGAGGTCTAGTGAAATACTCAGCAGAGTTAATTTAACTCACAGTAAAACTGTCTGAAGATCTAATTGTCTCTGAAATATTTTTTTTTTCTATTAGAAACTTACATGAAATTTCTTACTGTGCTTTAATTCAATAAATATGTGTCATGATACTTCCACACCAGTTCTTTAAAGCCTCAGTTACTTCTTAATGAAGTTACATCTACCACTGCAGCTACTTCCACTTCAACTGGAATTTAGGGTACAGTTTCATGTTGCTGTTGATCCCATGTCACTGTGGGTTGCTGCTGGGAGCTGCAGTCACACTGTGATCCCTCACACACCCACCACACGTCCCCTCTGTTTCCCCTCTGCAAACATTATGTGGCCATGGGGTGACCAGGGTGTGTTTGGTGATCCAGTGGAAATCCAACCCTTTTGACGTTGCTCGGTGGATGTAGCTAACAAAGTAGCACGTATCTGTATACTCCACTGGGAACCACGGGGAAACTTGAGCTGTTTCTTCCTTTCTTCTTCAGCAGCCTCCCTCCTCCATGTACGGTTTCTATCTGTCCCCTATGTCTACTGAAAAACCTTCCTCCCATCACTGCTTCCCAAACTTGGTACCCAGGGGGCATTTCTTGCCAATGCAGTCTCCCTCTGGGAAGGTGCGGCTCGGCCACATGCATTTCACCAGGCAGGCAGTGATTTATTAATAAATTATATTTATTAATATAATACATTTCTAGGGTATAGTCATCTATACATTTCTAGGGTATAGTCATCCGTGCTTTGATGAGTGAGTGATAATGCCTCTAAACTTAGGTTGGACTAGATGACCTTTAGAGGTCACTTCCAACCCAAACTATTCTATGATTCTATGTGGCACCTAACAAAATCATAATGAGAAGAAGGGACATTTAGGAATCACGTGTCTTGTAAATAATTCTTAAGACAGGCATTTTCCTATAAATATTAATAAATTTTAAAAAGATACTGCTTCAAACAATCATAGAGCTAGAAAACTATTTGAAAATACTTGAAAATTAAGAAGGATCTTTTTAAGACTTGGTTTCATCTGTGATTCCTGAATTATTTACTTCAGGCTTTTCAAAATAATTCTGTAATAGGATAAGACCTTGGTTTATCAATTAGAGAGGCTCTCTTCAAATGAACAAAATCAGGCTTGAAAATTAAGCTTCATTTGAAAAATAAACTTTAAATTCAGTCCTGAAAAATTCTCTGATCAAGTTTGGCAACCAAGTGATGAATTGTAAACAGATTAATAGGAAATGAGTTGAGATATACATATAATTGTGAAATCTTGATCCAGCTTTAGGATTTATCAGCATCGAACTTGGCACTTTGATTTTGTGAATAAAGATTACACTTTTCTCATAGATTATTTATATCTTACTTATCTGATAAACTGAATTATCTCCTTTGAAATCCTAACAGGTTAGCATTAACCACTTATATTGCTTATTTTTTTTTGTTTCCTCTTTTTTCCCTAGTCCTGTTGTTGTTCTTGTTTTACATTAATCCATTCCAAACAACTTATCTCAGTGTTTCTCATCCAAGTGTCTCAAAAGATTAAGGGAAAAAAGTTGCACTAATAATAAGGAAATAAGGAGTGACTCTACCCAAAACAAGCTGTACCAAGAGAAAGCAACTGTGATTCTTGTCTATAATATGGGCGTCAACTTTAATTCAAAAACACCCGTGTTCTCCAGATGTCTATGTAAGCAGTCTGTCAACCACCACCAGCAGAAGAGTGCCTGTGTACGCAACTGACCTCACTTAGCCTCTTGTTGTGTTTGCCATGTTGTTATCTATTTTTTGCCTTGACTTTTTAAACTTCTTTCTTTGTGGCTATTCAAAGCCTTACATTATCTTTGTATCTCCGTCTCATCAACTCCCCATCTCTTTTCCTGTCTGGGCTGAAACTCCGTATCTCCTCTCCACAGCAGCTCTCTAAAGTTCCCTGTCTGCACCTTGTTGCTTGTGTCTCATTTCTGCAATGAAGTTGCCTAAGTGCACAAGGATGAGGGCAAAACTTACTGGTAGAAAACACACTATGAAACCTATATTGCAGGCAAAAGTCTGCAGGGACAGCTTTCCTACCATGGTGGCCATATGGATGACCACTGTCACCTTGTAGAGAGCATGGACCAGGGCTAGGCAAGGCAGCCCACTGTGGCTTTGCACAGTGGGGAGGGGGGGTGAGGAACCGCTGGAGGTTCTGTGTTTTCCTTTAGCAGCTTCTTAATATTATACCCTTGCAGCCCAGGTCTGCTTCCAGGCACAGGGTATACCTCTGATGTGGAGGGTACTTCAGCTGTTTTTTCTGCTCCCAGAAAGGCAACAGGCTTGACGAGTTGGCCCAAGGCATGACCAGGACATGCCCATACAGAAGCTTTGAGCATACCTGGTATATAGCCAGTCTTAGACTTGCCTCTAAACAGCGGTGTGGGCATTGGTGCAATCTTATCTTCCTCATGGAAAAGTGTGGTACATTCTATACCTGCTGGAGGTTGTATGGGGATCTACATGCTAGCAACATGGGTGGTTGTGGGAGAATGCAGGACAAAAATTCTGTCTATAATGTAAGATGTGGTTCAAAATCAAGAACTGGTATCCAAGAATTCTTTGTGTTGCTGTGGATTACATATCACCATTGTATGTCTTTGTTACAAACTGTGCGTGTTTCTACTAGCTAGAAAGACTACTATGAATAGTTTAATATGATTGTGATAACCATGTTAAAATGTGTTTGGAGGAATATTGTAACATGGGTATAAATTACTACGGGGGATTAAGACATTGTGGGTAGTTGTGCTCTTAGCACCTGAGGATGGGCAAAGTCAAAGCCTTTAATCCCAACAGTCTGTGCTTACTTGGAAAAATGTTTGTCTGACTGCAGGCATGGAACCCGTTGTGCTGGAGAAGTGGCAGCCACGGCAAACAACTCACACTGCACAGTAGGAATCGCCTTTAATGCCAAGATTGGAGGTATGTGAAACAATCTCCCACCAAAAAAAAAGAAGTAACCAAAGAGCCATTTGTGCTAAATGGTACATTCAGACCTTTCTCAACAAGAGAAGGAGATTTGTATGGGTAACAAACCTAGCTGTGTTAACAAGTAAATCTCAGTTGTAAAGTGGTCGTCAAATACCAGTACTGAAGGAGTTTGTCTGCAGTGACACTTCTCCAGTGCTCCCTGGAACACTGCCTCTCAGTACACAAAGAAAAATAGAAAGTGAGACCTTTGATGAAAACACAAAACCCAGAATTAGGACGTTTGGGTTTTCTCACAGATTCAGAGCTCTAAGTGATGAACTTTGACAAACCAGAAGTAAATGTACACATCAGGAATATTGCCTTGCATATTGATCCCAAACAAAACAGTCAAAACATAAAACATTTTTGTGTTGTTTGGCTGTGGTTGGAGAGAATCTTCTTTTGATCCCTCTCTGTGATCAGATTATTGCCTGAAATACGAGATTCGATTGCACTTTTTTGTTCATTCAGCCAAGAGGTTCCAAGTGGTTTCTATGAATTCTATGAATTCTTAGTCAACGGCTGCTCAATTAAGGCCTTTGGCTTAATTTGTGGAGATGACTATCAAGATGTCATCTATGTGTCTCCTAGGCTGTAGCCTGCCTGTGCCAGATTTTAATGCTTCAAGTGAAGTTTTACCCTGTATGTTTGATGAAATCATGGGATTGGTATATGGGCTTTCAGTTGAAAGGCCTATAGCTCAAACTCATTAATTGTTGATTTTCTGTCCCAAAATAGAACCCATCTGTGAAAACAGAAACATGTTTATATATACACCAGAGGACAGTTCAAAAATATGACCAGGCAGAGTTGAGGCCATGTTTCTACAATTAATAGTACTGTATCTGTTCTCTACTGGATCAGTACAAGTTTGATCCAAATCAAATGTGAGCACAGCTGCATTTCAAATTAGCCAAAGCACACAACGTCGTCCTAATGTCAGCTTTCTGTTTTCCTGCTGGCTTCAAGAGGATAGACAATACCTGATCCAGCATAAGGTTAGAGTGATGCAGAAAACCAATTTCCCTTCAGGTGGAGAGCATGCCTGCACAAAGCTACCCTGTCAGAGTGGTTTAGAAAATCTGAGCTGGACAAGTGAGTGAGTTTGTGGCAGATGAACAGGCTGTCTCATGTGGACGTGGCATTTGGTCGTGTACCAGCAGCTATGAAATCAGATTACATTGTCAAACCAGAGTCAGAGGAGAGTTAGTGCACCAATAGAGGTAAAAGATGGCTTCTTGGAGAAGTTTCATTTCTGAGTTGGATAGTCACACAACCTGCAACAGTTTGGGCACATCCTTGCAAAGTTCTCCACTAGTAACAGTGGCTTCTTAATAGGTTATTATTTATTAAGCATTCGGAATGTGCAATAATAATGTTTTAGAAACCCTCCAGGCATATTAACTGAATCACAGCCTTTTCTAAATATAGTGTAAAAACTGATTCAGATGGACATAGTTTGAGTGCAGTTAATGTGAACAGTAAAGTCTGCATATGTGTGCCTTTTCATAATATATTTATTTATGTATTTATTTTGTGCAAAGAATACAACAGCCTTCAAGAAATTTCACTGGTCTAAGTGAAATAAAAATTTTATCCATTCCATTTTTCACCACGGTTCTGTAGAGCCATCACTAACACTGTTCTTAAAAAACTGTGTAAACCTCACTTGAGGTAATGTACCACTTTTTAAAAGCATCGGCACTTGATGATAAGACTTCAGGAGGCTCAGCAGATAATCTGCAGAAAGTCAGAGGCAAGAGGGAATTCCAGGGTATTGGGAAGGGAGGTTAAGCTTCCCCTTCCACTACATCTATATATTTAAGAGTTTTGCTGCTGCTGACCTCTATTTGGCATGCCTCCCTCTCTTCCCTCAGAAAAGCCGTAAGCTACATATGTGAATATGCAGTGGTTGTGTTCCCTCTCCACAGGCCCGATAGAGTATAAAAATGTTGAATCATATTGTGTTGAACTAGTGTTCAGCTCGCTTGTTTCCCAGGGTTTTAAAGACTCCTTGGGCCTTCTTGGAGAATAAACTAGAGTCAAGGTAAAGCAATTACACTCTCCTTACACAGAGGAGCACCAGCCGACAGTGATGTTGAATTTGCTCCACCACGATAAGTATTCTTTATTTCAAACCAAAAAACATTATAAGGTATAACAAGGAGATAAAGCAAAGGGGAAAAGAAATCCTTTCCATCGATATTCCATCAAATACTGGCAGCTGAACAAGTCCAGTTAATGATCTTTGTGATGGAAAGTAATTAACAAGGTATCCGCCAGTAATGCTCACTTTTTTTCTAAATGTGTTTGTACTCCTTGTCTCATTTCCACGCATTTAAGAATTTTTGACCACAAAATTTAAGAAATTTTGACCACAAATAGGTCAAAAATAAGATCCTTAGAAAGTCTGAGCCTTCTCATACAATGGTGTAAGTGGGGATGTAATCTGCAGATGAGAAAATTTCATTAAAATCACAATCTGGACCTCCAGTTTTTTACAGGTTGTGGGATGTTTCTTACAAAAAATTATGCACTATGCCTGCAGTTTGTGCTTAGCTAAGATACAGGCCCTTTCACTGAAAGAGAAACCAGTGCACCAAAGGGGTAGATCTTTTTTTTAACGTGACTCTCTGCAGTAATCACACATAGCAGATTACCACCTACAGAGCTTGTGAGACTTTTTATGAGAAGGGATGGTTAGCGTGTTGTTATTGTTGCAGACTGATTGTGGAAGTTGCAATGCATCTGTGGGGATTTGGGTGTTTAGTTACTTGGCTGGGCTCGAGTCCTGACGGGAAAACAGTTACACTGAATTATGGCACAACAGATGTAGATTGTCTTCAGCTGACGAGGAATTAGTTCAGCTGTTTCTTTAAGTCAGATGCTGATTAAAAACAAACATTTTAAAAGAAAACTTGCTTTCAGCTCAGTTTTGCATGTTTCCTGTGATTCATTGAAAGTTTGTTCTGACTAAAATGCCACTTATGTTTTGGCAATTACTGCAAATATTGGAAAAAGTTTACAGAGCTCTAAAGTCTTAGGTGGAACAATCTGCAAACGCAGTCTGTTAATTGCCTTCTGGACAGCTTTTGTTGTGCTATCACCACATGCCAAATGCAGTTTGGAGGTTTTGTGATCGGCAGAATTAACTACTCAAGACATTTGGGGAAAAAACATAAAAAAGAAGAAAAGAAAAGAAAAGAGAAGAAAAGAGAAGAAAAGAGAAGAAAAGAGAAGAAAAGAAAAGAAAAGAAAAGAAAAGAAAAGAAAAGAAAAGAAAAGAAAAGAAAAGAAAAGAAAAGAAAAGAAAAGAAAAGAAAAGAAGGGGGGGGGAGAGAGAGAGAGGAATTGTTTTTGTTTTAAATAGCCAATGAGACGTCTGTTGTTCAAAATCATCCTTGAGGCATGCCTGTCAGCTGTTGGCCGGAGGGAGCAACACCTAAATCACAGTCTTGTCCATGTTGCTTTAGATTTGACCACTTCATCATTAGCAAAAAAAACTGGTGTGAATTACTTCAGGTGCCAATGGCAGAATTTGGAGTTATTGTTCACCAGGTGCATGTAGTATTATTTAGGTTTGCTACGCAGTAACAGAGACGTAAAGGGAAGCTTTATTTTCCTTCTTTCAAAAGTGGTGTACATTTTATTGTCTTTATTTAGAACTAAATATATTTTAATGTGCTTGAAAGAAATTGAGAACACAACTTCCACCCATCATTAATTTTCTTATATTATGCTGAGGAAGAAAAATAAAACCTGAGAATCCCAGAGTTGGTTTAATGACTTTTTTTATAAAGTTCATAGTGAGATCACTGTTTGTAAAAGTTTATTATCTCACAAAACATGGGCAGCTTTTGTGTGAACTTAGAAATTTGATCACTTTTCATTTTTGAGTCAATTAGAGTAAGGAAAAAAGAAAGACCCTCTATCAACAAAGCACCCCTATGCCTTTTGTTAATTGGAAGTTAAGGTCTTGGTAAACATTCAAGTTACTTTAGTCTGAGCTCATGAGCAAAAAGAAATGTGTCTGTAATTAAAAATACGTAAATTTGGCTTATAAATAGCAGTGGCCTTTTAAAGGGGAAAGAGCATCAAATTTGTTAACTGTGGAAGTAATCATTACTCTGTACTACCATAGTTACATGCTAATTATTATTTAATATTTAACATCCCTTTGATCAGATGACACACTAGCTGTATGTAGGTCCTTTTTCTTGTTTAGGTTAAAACTGGCATTGGTGGTTTTCTCAGTCAGAATTAACTTCAAAGTCTTACAGTCAGTCAAACAATAACTTTAAGATTTTCTCGGTTTCCAGATTTAAGCCTACCTTATTCAGTCTAGTGATCTTAAAACATCATGATGCCATTCACTTTAGAAGGGCTGGCACATTGGCTTGTCCAAACCCACATGAATGGATTCCTGTAACACAAGAATTTTAGATTATACCTTACAAAAGCTTCTTCTGCACAGAGGAGGATGTTCACAATATTGTAGTTTCAGGTTGATAATGTTACATATAGGGTTTTTGTTAATAACTTCTTGTAATCGCCTTGCTACAGTGTATGGTAATTGGTCTGGACACACGAGCTTTCTCCCCAGTTTCTTCTTTGCGGCCTCATACAATGAAGGAATAATCCCATGTTTATCTGTCAGCAGAGATCCTTTTATTATATCTGTCAACATACTTACGATTGTTAATGAGTCAAATTAGGTGCTGCAGTTTCACTGCATTATAAAAGGAGAAAGAAAATCATATATTATCTTCAAGTGAGACATGCAAACATTTCAAGGTTCAAGTCTTTTTTTAAATTTTCTTTAGCGTAAAAGTTTGTTGTTGAAGTTTGAAGGCTGTATGGTGGATAAATGACTTATAGATAATTTTTAAAACTCAAATACCAAAATATTCCTTTCTTTTTTGTATTTTTTCATCTAGAGACTTTTTTCCATTGGAAAAAACATATATTCAAAGAGGTTTTGGGTTTTTTTTTTTAACAACAGTAGAAATTCTTATGATCATTCAGTCCAATGCTCTACAGAACAATTTTCTCTGGGGGACAAAAAAAAAAAAAGAAGCATTTTGAGTTGTTTGGTCCTGTTCATTGTATCTTTCATTCTGAAGGTGTACGGATGCTGGACGGAGATGTGACAGACATGGTAGAAGCAAAGTCTCTAAGCCTTAATCCCCAGCACATCCACATCTACAGTGCCAGCTGGGGGCCGGATGACGATGGTAAGACTGTGGATGGACCTGCTTCTCTAGCACGTCAGGCCTTTGAGAACGGCATCAGAATGGTAGGTTGGCATCAAAGTGCATCTCCTAGATCTGCTCTCATGTGCAAGTGTAAAGATACATGCGCCCAGTATGTGTAAGTGCAAGCACGGGCAAGAGGAAAGGATTCTGAAGGAAAGAAGAAAAGCTTCTTCTGTGTAAAACTAAAAATGCATTTTCCTTCTATAGTGACCTGACGGTCAGTCCTTCCTGAAGTGTCAGCTCTGTTCATTTTCAACTGGAATACATCATCCTCAGTGTCCTTTAAAACTGCTCTGAGGTAATGATGTAATTCTGCAAGAAAAAATAAGACTGAAAAATGCTACTTTGCACAGCAGTGCCAAGTCATCAAATCTGAATTGCAATGAAATTTTAAAGCAAAAGCCTTGACTGTTTTTCCTTCTTCCTTCCTTTTCTTCATTGCTTTGTTTTGCTTGATTTCTTAATGGAAGTTTGATGATTTTAATAGGGAGTTGGGGGCTAAAAAAAAAGTCTACACCCATGTTTCTTTCAGCGTTATGTCTGGTCTCATAGAATTTACACCTTATTTATAACTTACATATACATGTCTCTACAAGTCTGTGCTATTATGTTTTCTCTGTGATATAGGCCAGAGATCTTCAATAATACAACACACTAAATCCCAAACACCCCTATATGAAAAAATCAAAGACCTTTTCAATTTTCATTAATAATTTACTGTCAAACAAATTAGACCACAGAAGGAAGCGAGTAGCTAGAGGAACTTTTGTTGTCAGCGGCCAGTTTTTAGTTCTTCCTTTTACCCTTCTGCCTGTTAAATGGCTCAGGGAATTCCTCATCTTCCAGTGCTCACACCTCTTTCCACTATATAGTACTGGTGGAAAGGATTTTAAAGCTTTGCAATTGAAGGTCTGAACATTATTTTGAATGCAGCAGGAGACTTGCTTGTTCAGTGGTGGGTGGCTCTAGGATCAGAAAAGAGAGGATTAATAAAAAACATTTGTTTAAAGAGACTGAAACTGTTGGACCAAAGTGGAACTGGGACACAGTTACTGGAACATGGTAACACTGTGCAGCAAGATTGGAAAGTGCAGCTATTATGAAGTCAATAAGTGTTTTAACCAGGTATGCCAAGAATGATTTTAGCAAACTATAGCTAACATTCAGCCTGGAAGATTTGTGCCGTGTGTAAGAGACAGCGTCTGCCACTGAGAGACTATATTAATTTAAGGTATACCATAAAAAGCAGTCATAACAGCAAACGGGGACAATGAGTGCAGAGCAGTAATTGATGAAGTTGCAAGAGCACCTGGTCAAGCTGATGCACTGTGTGCACAGTGCAGCGTTTCAGGTGATTTACAGTATACTTGACTGTAAGTTGAATTTAAATACATCATAAAATTGATACCCAGTATCACCATAAACATCGCCTAGCAGCACAAGCCTAGGAGGTATGTATTCACCTTTAATCACAGCTGCATCCCTGCTTATTTTGGTTTCCTCGATAAAGTTGCATAAATTTCTTACTCTCACCCCTGTCCTCCCTGCCCCAAATGTGGATAATAATACATGCTCAACTACCAAGCAGGTAAGTTATGAAGAGCAACTACTGAAATACTAAACTAACGACAGGGACTGTGTGCTTCCTATGCTACGTGATGTTAAAGACATGTCTCTCAAACTCAGTTCTGTGAATGCTTTACTAAACACGCAGGCACAGACCGCTGCCTTCCTTTCACTTGGTCATCCTTTCACTTGGTCATAGGACGACCATTCGGTGTGGAGCTGCAGATTTACGCTTTTGCTTGTTGTACATTATGTAACATGTGAAGCCTAGCATAACAAAATACTCAAGCATGTACTTAACTTCACCCTGCGAGAAATTCCAGGAGCTTAGCAGTTAAACACATTTAGGGACGCTGATAGATTCTGCCCCAGAGAGCTCTGCTGTATTTAGTAATCATTATTAAAATAGTTATTGAAGTGCTTTTAAAACAATATAACAAGTATGTAGAAGGCCAAATGCGTCTCCATTACTGCTTCCCATACATCATCACTCCTCCTTTCAGATGGAATATCAGCGCTACCCATCACCCAACTGGAGTTTACTACTGTTTGACAGTGACCACAGAGAAGAAAAACAATAAAGTGATGAAGGGGACCCTAATGGAACTGCAGGATGCAGGGGAACTTGAACAAAATAAGTTTTATGTTTAAAAATACATGTGTTAGTTTAAATGTCATATTTTATGTAGGTAAGACAATCATTAAAAGTTCAGCCCAAATTTCTGTACCAGAAGAACTCAGCCATTTCCGCACTGAAATCTCAAACTGGGGATAAATCCGGTATAAATCAAGAATGTGGAATAATTTGCCAAGAGCATGGATCTTGCCTACAAGCATTATTGTTCCACTGTTGTTATTACAGCTGTAATATGAGAGGATACCCCACAGAACCCAGATGAATTTCATTTTACCAGCACATTGTTCTATATTTTTAGTAACTACCAGTATATAGTGGAAACATAGTATTTAATTTTAAAATTCTGAGGTGGTCTTTTTTCTGATAACAATGCAGAAGGAGAGTTTTGTATATTTTTCCGAGAAATAGTAGAAGTCATATTTGATGCAAGTCAAATTATTATTTTTACAATTTAGTTTATATTTCATTTTATCAACTTTTTGTTCTGCCCCAAGTTGCCCATGCAGAGTTGAATAGATCTAAATATTTCCATATATTTTGAAATTTTGTCTCACTCTGACTATGAAAGCTTTTTCATTTCTACTAAGGAAATAAAAGTTCTCTTTAAAACTTACATAAAATCATACTGATAAGAAATACAAAATGTTTAAGGTTAATCTCTAATTTTCATTCTTTAAAATGTAATATAGACTGAAAGATTGTAAATCTATGTCTCAATTACCATTTTCTTTAATAGGCTTCGTTTCCAGTCCAAAAATTATTTCAAGATTAACCTATTCTTGTTCTTTTTAATAAACCATGCCTTTCTGTCTTCAGATAAAGGTACTTTTTCTATATTTCCTTACATTGTCATAAGACATCATTTTAAAAGATGAGGCAAATGGGAGAAGAAAAGACAACTGTGCCAAAATATTCCTAAAATCAGATCATTGTCCAAGGTAATGACTAGATACTCAACCAAACATAGATTTCCTCAAGCAGTCACAGTAATTGTGCAAATAATAATAGGCAGACAAAAATGCTTATTATGTTGTGTACAGATCTTGACCTTTCTTTTTTAGAACTATTGAACTGAACAACAGTATTACAACTAGTATAGCATCTGTGATGTAAATTAAAGTAACATTGGTACAGGAAAATTTGGCAAGACCTTCTTTCAGATCTATACAAAGGTTCAAGATTTATATTCTTCATTTATTGTGCAAATACACATACAACTGGATATTACTTTTTAAAAATGGGACAGCAAAGGGAAAGGTCAAGATTTTTTGAAAGCATCTGATTGGAAATTATGTTCCTTGTTGAATTAGGAAAATCAAAGGTGGTGCTGAATAATAACTTTGATTAGTATATAGTTAAACTGAATTATCACTTCTTTTTATTATACTCATGAAGTAAAAATTAAATGGATGCAAAAGCCACAGTTTCTTATTCAGTTTGCTGAGAGACTGGGATCCATGAAAAAAATGCCTGGTTTATCTTTAGCACATATTTTTCCAATTAACAGCTCATGCAGGGTGCTTTAGAACTATTATTATTTTTAAATCTGCTGAGCTAATATGATTACTCCTTCCAAATCCTCCAGAAAATAAAAAAGATAAATGACTGTACAGTTTTTTCTGTAGAGTCCCACAGAGACAGCACATGCCATGAATTGAAATAGACAAATCTATTTAAAGAAAGGATACTGAGTAATAACTGAGTTTATGAAATGACAACCTAACCCACAAGTTAAATATGCTTTAAAAATTCTGCCCAGGATCAAGGTAAAGGAAGAGGAAACCAATTTTTAAACCTGTCTCAAGTACCATGATTTTCTGTCATCTTTAGGGTATTTTGTTTAATTCTATTAAATTTGCATACTTGAGTTCAAAGAGAAACCTTGGAGACTTTGCTATCAAACAATTTCTATGCAAATATAAAAGCTCCCTTTATATCATGCTTCCAGTTGACAAGGTCCTTTTCTTGGAAATAGTGTAGTCATAAGGGTGGAAAATTCTAGAGGCTTGTGTTTTAAATACCAATGCATTAGAAGCTGTAGACCTAATAATCTTAAAAATAATTCCATTAGAATCACGCAGAACTTTCCTGAGAAAAATCAAATGAAGGGCAGTATGTCCAAAAGTAACATATTCAAGAAAAGATTAGGTATGCACTGTCACATTTCACCCTGTGTTCAAGAACAGACTTAGCATTGCAAAACATGATTGTGGCCAAAGCATGTAATAAGACTGTGCTGAGTCTGGGACAAAAGGGAGAACACATAAGCCTTTCCTTGGTTCAGAAAGATAAAACCAAAGTACCATTACATTTTAAGATGACTGTCTGTATCTCACAGTCTATAAGCACAATGCTATAAGCACTTGAGAGACTTAGGCTTGCTGATTCATAGCTCTGTGATACAGCATTCAGACTAGTTCATTTCTATTTATACAAACAAGCCTGTTATTCTGGGATCAGTCTCAACATCATTTGGAGAGTAATGCATTTCAGATATTCTGACTTGTTCTTCCACTGCTGTTTGGCAAAGACCTAATAGTCAAGTTTCTGGATATATGACCCCTGTTGATATTTTATGTTGCAGGGTTTCAAAGAGCTGGTTATCTCACCTCTCCAAACGTCTCACCAACTGCATGCTCTATGTTGTTTGTTCTGCAGTACCCATAAGGTAGTCCAAATCAGCGACAGGGCAGGTCATCCTTAATACAACCTAAAAGCCAGGGAAATCTACATGGAAAATTTTGGCTTTCTGCCTGCATCGGTGCAGGGGCCTTCATCTCATTGCCATGACACCATTCTGTTTAGCAAGCTGGACACAAGCCAAAATGTTTGATGGAC